TCTACAAAATGATAAATACCCGATTCAAAACGGAGACTCACACTTGGAGACCTTCCCTCGTTAGATTTATTAAACTCATGGCTTGTGTCCTATAGTTATTTTCTTTAAATTTTTTCTAGTTTTATTCTTTTGAAAATTATGCTATGTTCAAAATTTCAGATATCTGCGTAAACTATGCATATAATTAATGACGAAAAATCATCAGGATAAACAGAAAGAGGATGAAGAAACGAACACATACGGTAGACTTCCTGAGAAAATATCTTCCGAAGTTAATTTAAATGATGCATCGGTGTTTTCATACAGCAGGGGACAATTGGACCAGTCGATGGGGGAAATTGTTCCACTTTATGGGGAAATGCTTCACCCCACATAAAGTCACACGTGTCAAGGAGAAATGGAAAGAAAAATATATATATATGTCTACATATATACATATATTCTATCATATGTATGGCATATATACGTAAGGTTAGACAGAAATAGTTTTTCTTTCAAAGAGAAATGCTTCAACAAGGAGAAATGGAAAGAAAGAAAAAAACAAGACATATATAACATATATATATATATATATATCTATATAAATATATATATATATATCTATATAAATATATATATATATCTATATAAATATATGCCGTATCGAGCTTACACCGACTGACGAAACTATAACTTCGACGATGATCATCATCGAATTTTCCATTGTAACAATAGAAAGATTCTCAAAATTAGTTCTGATTCACTTATCACCCCGTAATTAACTAGGCTCAATGCTTTGTTGTCGAATTCATACTCCAAACTGTTTTTCCAGTGAACTCTATTTATTTAATAATAAGGTTCACTAAACAGTATTCATTCCCCCAAAACAACCCTTTTTCGTCATATAGTCGACAGTATCATCTTCGCTTTATAAAACTATTTATTCATAAAATAACTAAGGTTATCGTCGAGAACAATCAACGTTGAACTTACAATCTTGTCATATGTACACAGAAACGTTATAACTTCATCCATAAGAGACGATTACCCCTTGACTTCGACCACATATGTAACTTCGATACGACAAATGCACGAAGGAGATATAGACCAAACACTTATTACTTAAACATCACCATTTCTCACAGAAAGAAACCCACTTTTCCTACACACAACCACTCCAATGAACAAAGCAAGCGTATCCATTTCTCTTTAAGTCTTTTCAATTTCTTCTTGTGATTGGAGATATGGATGCAAGACTTCTTGAAAAACAAAGATTTCTAATAGAAAAAAATCGATTTCTACTAGAAACATTCCTTAAGATAAAAAGCAATTATCCATTTCTCTCTCACACTTTTCGAC